TATATATATATATATATATATATATACTTGGGATCATGTGAGACCAGAGGTTTTTCATGAGACCCGTAAGACCAACTCTCAACCCTTGGATTAGATTCACAATCTGAACATTCATAATCACAAAATTGCCACGAGACTTCTCAATAATCACAAAATTTCCATTGTGTAACTTTAGACCATTAGATAATTAACTTATAAAGTTGATCAATAAACATAAATTGATCTTACGGGTCTCACGAAAAACTCTTGGTCTCACGTGAACTCAACTCTCTCTATATATATACATATACATACATATATATATATACACACACATACGCACACACACACTTGACTAACAAAATGTTCATCTATCTTCAGTTACCTTTATTGACCTAAATTCATTACCATTACTAAAATTCAAAATAACTCATATATGTGAAAGTAATTAAAGATGTGTAAAAGTTTGTGAAAGTGAAAATAAAAATGAATATTGAGGTTAATGAAGGTAAATGATGAAGGTAATAGTTGAAGGTCCGCGTTTTTGGTCAACAATTAATTGAAAGTGAACAATTTTTTAGCTGTTAGATCAAAAAGTCAACTTATTTAACGACTTATAAGTAGTTCTCATTGTAACTTTTATTCTCATGGACAATCCTATATGGCTATATATATCTATGTATATATATATACTAGTGGTGAACCCGTGCGATGGAGCGCGGATGAATCACAATTTTAAAACATTAGTTTAGCCTTGAATCATGAGTTTGTGTGGTTATTTTACAAGTAAACTAATATATAAAGTTGAAGGTTAATATGGTGTATTAGCAAGATTGATTGGAAAAATAATTGCACACATGTTGAGTTTCTAAACCCATATAAAATTGAAGGGTTGGGGTTGGGTATATGCAAAATCTGAAACCCTTTATGATATTGTTGCTTCAAATTTCAGTTTACTTTAAGAGAAAGAAGAACTTTGAATTTGAATTTGGGTTCAAAATAAGAAACAAACAAAGTGTCAAACAATTTTGGAAAGACCAAACATATATTTTTCATGTAAATATGACTTACTTAAATCTGAAACTTTGACCAAACAAATGGTATGTTTTAAACATTTGTACATTATGCATAATAGTTTGTACTTGAGAGATTCTTGAATATCTTGCATAAATTGTTAGTACTTTATATTTTAAGATTTGCAATTAAGACTTTTAGTCTAAATGCTTATTAATGTAGTATATATATATATATATTAAAAGGTTCAAATAAGAATACTATATATCGTGAGAAGATAAAAAAGAAATATTCTTATATGAATCATTGAAAATGTTCATTTGATGATCCATATGTGAACCAATATGAATAATCTGTAAAGTAGATTTACTTATACACATTTAAATAGATTTTTTTTTAATTTTCTCAATGATATATATATATATATATATATATATATACTTTATTTTAACATATTTTTCTGTACTCGTTATTTAAATCGTTTGCTAATATAAGTATCGGGTAGTATAAGATTCAGAGTTGATGACACTACTAGACATTTTGTACCATGCTCTTCACGGGTGTGGATAGGACAACAATTGTAAAACGTATTTTATTAGGAAAAAAAATCATTTTTTTAATTATTTGTCGTCCAAATTATATTAAAAATAACAAATTAATATATTTTTTATTTAATTATTTATTTATGTAAGAATATTTTTCTAATAAAACACACATTGAATTATTGTGATAATTTTTTATTTTATTCTTATAAAACTTTGTAACACATTTAGGGGTCGTTTACCAAACGCTTACCCGAGTAAGCGTTTACCAAGTCACATTATCTTATTGTATGAATATAATAAGAACCAAAAATCTTACCCGGTAAGAGTGAGACAAGGACCAAGAGTCTTACCCGGTAAGTGAGAGCGACGACTCTTACAACGGTAAACGCTTATCGGGTAAATTGTTGCATATGATATCGTTTTGGTGGACTAAAATTTAAAAATCTTACCCGGTAGGTAGTTGATAATGTTAAAATTTATTGGCAAACACTTATTAGGTAAGTGTTTGGTAAACGACCCCTTACTCTTTTGTTTCCCTCGAAATCAACAAGATATATGTAGATATGAATATCTCTGCATTTGTTTCGATTTGTTAATTTGTAATAAGATATCACGAGTTTGCATCTATGTTTGTCTGTTTGATGTGAAACATATAAAATTCACAACTATGATAATACTTGAATTAAACCATAAGGATGGAGCCTGATTGGTTTGAACATGACTCCAAAGGTAAAAAGTATCAGGAGGTCTCAGGTTCAAATCCAAGAAGGAATAAAAATCCCCTTGTGGTCACGGAGGTTCAAATGTCGTGACTCTGGGCTATCTGCAAAGCAGGTGGTCGCCCTGAGATTAGTCAGCTTGCATAGCGGGTTGGATATCCGGGTTAATAGAAAAAAATACTGGAATTATATGATGTAAAAATCAAGTGTCTTAATAAACTACTTTATAATAATTAAGTTTATAGGATAAAAAAAATGTCATATTTAAAAGTGTTACGGTAAGTTTGTAAAACGTTCTTGGACGTTTTAACAAATTCTCTGTAGATATTCATAATACAGTGTTGTATTAGCTATTTTATTGAACAATTTTGAGAAGTGTCTTATAAATACATTTTTATAAAACATTTTTCAAAAGTGTTCTAATAAAAAAGCTGAAAAACATCCTATAAACTTATTGTGATACTTTTATATATGACGTCTTACTATTTGTTTCTATAAACTTAAGTACTATAAAGCAATATATTAGAAAATTTAGTTATTTTTGGTGTTTTTGGAACCCAATTTTGTTATAGTATGCACCTACGAGGATGGATACACAACCATCGTGATCCAAGTAGTAACATAGGTTTGGTCTTAAATGGCAGCAAATGAAGTATGCGATAGGTTTGCGGGAACAGGGTTTCATGCCAACTTGATTACATATTTGACCCAACAATTGAACCTTCCGATGGTTAAAGCTTCCAACATATTAACCAATTTCGGGGGCACGTCGAGTTTCATGCCCCTTATTGGTGCCCTAATCGCCGACTCTTTTGCTGGCCGTTTCTATACAATCGTCGTCGGTCTCCTCGTTTATTTACTGGTTTGTTTCCTCTTCCGTTTTAATTTATATTTACTCCATACTGTTAATATGCATATAGATCTACAAGGAGGTTCAATAAGAAAAATAAAAAGGTTGAAAACGTCGAATAAGTGATTTATATGTTAATCATTGATAAAATAAAAACATGAGTTCACATATGCATATTCAGATATTAATAAGTGGTAAAAGAAAGTTGGTGAGCAAACATGGGTTCACACATCTATACATTCAGGGGGTGTTTGAGATTACTTATAAAAATAATTTATTGACTTATTCCGATGTGACACCGGTAATAAGCATTTTTGAGTGTTTGGATAAACAACTTATGCCTGTGCCAAACCGGTAATAAGGAGTTTTTGAAAAAGTTAAACTCTTCTGACTTATAATAAGTTGATAAGTGCTTTTATAGAAAAACATAAGTTATTTCAAATAAGCAATCCCAAACACCCCCTTAAATGAATGTTTTTTTTCCTGGTTTTAGCAATAATTCATATAAGAATCGGTTATTCAAACGTTTTCTAACCTTTGTGTCTTTGTTATTTGTAAATTCTAGCAAATATCATTTGATGCCAACATTAAATCAGCAAAAACAAAGGTTTTAGAATTACGGGGCCGTTTACCAAACGCTTACCCGAGTAAGCACTTACCAAGTAACATTACCTTACCGGATGAATATAGGAAGGATCAAGAATCTTACCTGGTAAGAGCGAGACAAGGATCAAGAGTCTTACCCGGTAAATGATGACAACGACTCTTACCACGGTAAGCGCTTACCGGGTAAATTGTTGTATACGATGTCGTTTTGATGGACTAAAATCTTACCCGGTAAATGCATAATAGTGTTAAATTTTATCGGTAAACACTTACCAGGAAAGTGTTTTGGCAAACGACTCCTACCTCAGAATAAATATTTTCCCATAATTATTGATTTTCTTTGTCAAACGATTTGAATTTTGACATGATCGTCATCTTCAGGGGATGGTCTGCATCACTACATCCTCAATACTGCCACAGCTCCGACCACCGCCATGCCCCACCAAAGAAAACTGTACGGAGGCTTCTTCATCTCAGCTATGGATTCTCTACCTCTGTCTCCTCCTCACCTCCCTCGGCTCCGGTGCCATCCGCCCTAACGTCGTCACTTTTGCCGCCGATCAATTTGACATGACCACCGGTAAATCGAACCCTAGCAGCGCCGGCCGGAACTTCTTCAATTGGTACTACTTTTGCATGGGACTCGCCACACTCACGGCTCTAACCATCGTTGTTTATGTCCAAGATCGCGTTGGTTGGGGATTGGGTCTGGGCATCCCGACCATTGCGATGGTATTTTCGTTCCTTGCGTTTGTGGTGGCGGCTCGTCTTTATAGAAGGGTGAAACCGGAAGGAAGTCCGTTGGTCAGGGTGGCGCAGGTGGTGGTTGCCGCCGTTAAGAAGAGGAAGCTTGTCGTGCCGGAAAACCCTAAATCTCTTTACGAAAATAAAGAGTTAGATGCCGGAATTTCTGCCGATGGAAGACTTCTACATACGAATACCCTCCAGTAATTAACTTACTTTCGATCACTTTTAAGATCCAACAGATAACTTATTATAACAAAACTTGTGTTACCAATATGATCACAGGTGGTTCGATCGAGCTGCGATAGTAACACAAGATGACACGAAGGATCCGACCACCCCAAACCTATGGCGGCTGGCGACGGTCCACAGGGTGGAGGAGATCAAATCCGTCATACGAATGGTGCCGATATGGGCGGCGGCAATCCTCATGGTCACCGCGCAATCGCACCAACACAGCTTCATCATCATCCAAGCCGGAACCATGGACCGTCACATGTCCCCTTCCTTCGAAATCCCTCCGGCAACTCTATCGATCTTCAGCGTCCTCACAATGCTCATATGTCTCTCGGCCTACAACCGTTTATTCGTCCCTTTTGCACGTCGATTCACCAACAACCCTATTGGCATCACGTGTTTACAGCGAATGGGGATCGGCTTCGCTGTAAACATTCTTGCGACCGTAGTTTCGGCACTAGTCGAGATAAAGCGAAAACAAGTCGCATTGAATCATGGCCTACTCGACAAACCAAACGTCATGATTCCGATTTCGGTTTTTTGGCTCGTTCCTCAGTTTGCCCTTCACGGTGTAGCGGAGGCCTTTATGGCGGTTGGGCATCTCGAGTTTCTTTATGATCAGTCTCCAGAAAGCATGCGAAGCACTTGTGTGGCACTGAATTCGATCGCGGTGGCCATCGGGAGCTACGTGGGCACGTTCGTGGTATCGTTGATTCACGACTACACCGGAAAGGAAAATAACTGGTTACCGGACAGGAATCTGAATAAGGGGAAACTAGATTACTACTATTGGTTAATGAGCGGTATACAAGTAGTGAATCTAGTGTATTACGTAACTTGTGCTTATCTCTATACGAATAAACCGCTCGAAGTGATCATAGATAACAACGAAGAAGGCGATTTGGAGTTAGCGACAGAGAAAACAGTCGTCTCGAAGTCGTTATTGAATGGTCAAAACCGAGATAGTGGAGAAAACGGGGATCAACTATGTAACGAGAAGAGAAGTTGAGTAACATTTATTGCTGAATGATTAAGCTATATAGACCGTTAAGCCCGTTAAGCCAAAACAAGCTAACAGTATCTAGAATCCTGGAAAATATGGTTATGTAGCTATTAACCACATTCCAGTAGAATAAAATTGGATCATATCCTTAGTTGTTGTGATGTGTTAATATGTATCATCATGTTGCTATATAATCTATGGTTATATGTTTATCTTTTAATAGTTTCATTAAAAGACAACATCTGAATCATTAAGAGGTAAATCTTGTTTGGTAAAAAAAAATCTGCTTCTTAATGGTTCTAAAATTCTCTGAATGATTTTATATTATGGGCCTCCCTTACCCATTAAACGCCCTAATTTCATTGTAAACAATTACCAAACAATTATATTTCATTTTGCACTATATCATAAGAGCATCTTAATCATTCTGTACCAAACCATTCAGCAACTTCCAAATAGCTAATTTGTGTGAATTAAGTATAGGTTTATGCCACATTTATATACTTGAACATTTTCTTCTTTAATTATGTTATAGAATTAGAGAAATAGAAGAGAAAATCGACCGTAGAAATCGAAGATTAAGATGCGATAAATTACTATTCTTAGAATATTATTAGCCCCCAAAATGGACGATGTTTGTGTTTCACGAACTCGAGGATACACAACTTGTTTGTCTTTTGATCGTTATTATACGTGTAAAGCCCAAAAATAAATAAATCCAACTTCTCTTAACCCATCTGATTACTAAATCAATCCGTTGAGTAAAATAGATCTTATGACTATATCGTTCTTTCTGTGTGGGACAAAAACCCACCTTGAAGACTAAATATAACAAATACCGTTAGAGAGACCAAGATCGGTCGTCAAGATAGTCGATGAATAAATCAGTAACTACTTGTATAGAGTTTTAGCATAGTACAATACTATAACAATAGTGGTTTATTAGGATCCTCAACCATCTTTATAAAATATTTACTAATATTTAAATATCAGAAGTGACTATTTTACCCCTTATCATACATGAAGTGCCGATCAACATAACTATTTAATAAATGTGCTAAATGGTTGATTCCGTACAATTTAATATAATTATACGAATTCAATGATAGAGTCACAATAAAATTAATAAGTAATTAAATATAATTAGAATCGATGAAATAATAGTTCGGATACAAGTCCATTTTTGTAACAAAATTAATGCGTTCTTGTTAGACAAAATTTTACGAATTCAATACAAATTACTTAAGTTTAAACATAAGATAGTAATTTATTTGTAATTTTATGGGGCAAAATAGCAATATATTTGGTGCTATTAGCTTCACATTGTGTTCCATCTCTATATTAGTGATGGTCAAAAATCGGTCCCGGGTTGGGTTAGGTCGGGCCAGTCCCAAGATTTCTCATAACCGGTCCCGGTTGAATAGATGAAGACCAGTTAGACTAGTTTATAACTAGTAATGGGTCGCCGCTCCCGGTCCCCGTCCCAACCGGTCCCACCCTAAAAAAAATATTTTAATTTTTTTTAATGATATATATTTTTAATACATTAATAAAATTTGTCGTACGGGTCATTCAAATACATTTTAAAAATACGTTTTACTACGAGAATTGTGAATTTTTGCGTTTTTTTGCGAATTAAGAACTTGGTATGTAAATCTCTCAACCGTGTTACATATTTATAGTGTTTAGAGACCAAAAAATAAAAAAGTGTAAAAAACGGCTAGTTAACAACTATATTTAAGAAAAATGTCATTTTTTTTAATATTTCGAGCCGGGTCAGGCTGGTCCATAACTGGTCCCGGTCCTATAAATCCGACAAAAACCATAACCGGATGTAACCGACGGTCCTATAAGCGGTCCTCACCGGTCACGGACCGGGCCGGTCCTTGGCTGGTCCCGGTTCCGGTCCTCAACGGTCCCAAGCCGGGCCGGGACGGGCCGATTTAACCATCACTATTCTATATTGTGTCTTATTCTCAAGTTTAAGCAATTGAAGTATGGCTTAACTAATGCAGGAAAAACAGAAATTATGCAAGACGAATCGACGATGTTAAAAAAAACCCTCAATAATATTTAAAAAAAGGAAAAATATTTGTCCCATGAATAATGAATCAAAGAATCTGAATATCACCTTTGTTACCGACCTTTTGTTACGCTCATTATAACAAAATTGGATTTATAGGACACTAACGATTTGTTGGGGTCCTAATATACTGCTTTTAAAAACTTAATTTCTAGGATTAAAAAATAAAACGTTCTAAATGCGTTGTATTAAGCTTATATGACGCTTTTGGATGTCTTAACAACTTTTGTTAGAAAATGTACTTGGAAAAGCATTGCTTAATTATCGGTAAGCAATGGTCAATTAACTAGTAAGACATAGATTTCACGTTGGTGTTGGTCGATTCATAATCCGTTGGGAAAACGTGTCGTCAAATATCTGTCTAAAAGCCTATCAGAAAAAGTCATTAAAGTTTGATCGACATTTGTGGAGAAAAAGTTTATTTGTCACCTATTATCGTGGGTTACTTATTAATTAAGATGACTTTACCCGCCGATACTACTTTAAAAGCAATCGAAAAATACCGTCAATAAAACGAAACTCTTTGTGTTGGAAATCGACTGGTAAACTAAGGTTCGAAAGGATCACCAACAACAGGTTATGTCGATAATAATCCTGTTTCTTGTGGTGAAACAATACGAGTATATCTCATTCGAAATTAGGATTTAGGTAAAAGTGTTAGGGGCCGTTTACCAAAGGCTTATCCGGTAAGTGCTTACCGGTAAAATTTAACATTATTATTTACTTACCGCGCAAGATTTTAGTCCACCAAAACGACGTCGTCCGCAACAATTTACCCGGTAATCACTTACCATGGTAAAAGTCGTCGCCCCCACTTATCGGGTAATACTCTGGGTCCTTGTCTAGCTCTTACCGGATAAGATTATTGGTCCTTACCATATTCATTCAGTAAGATAATATGACTTGATAAACACTTACCCGGATAAGCATTTGGTAAATAAACTTACCTTGAAAGAATAGATAATGTTTTCATGAACACCCTCTTAATTAATACGTACAACTCCAATCAATTAATTGTTAATTTATAAAACAATGAAAAATCATTAGGGCTTTGTAAAGGCCCATTAATTGAATATTGGGCCTGGGTTAGAAACCAAACACACGAGCAATTTCTAATCTTGAATTGGTATGGTTTTTTGGTGTAGAATCTTCCGAAAAAGGTTGACGATTTTCTGAAGGGAGTCGTGTTTCTATTCCGATCGTAAAGAAAGATCTTGGAATATCGGGAACAATTATGTTCGCCATTCCCTTTATGAAAAAGAGCGGAACTTTCTGTAATCTACACGTGGAACGTAGATTTGCAATTTTTAATGATCGTCCCGAAATATGGGGTCATATACAAGCCAATTTATACGAAAGAATGTAATTTATTTTAGTTTTAGTTGCCGAGTATTTTTTTTTTTTGATAAAGTTAATGATGATATTTTTTATGAATAAAGATGATGTATTTGTATTTGTTTATATGTTAATTAATATTAGCTTCTTAAAAGAAGTTTAAAAATTGTATGGTATTAATAAGTTGTATTCAAAACTTTTACCTAAATTATTTATTAGGGAAGGTTTATATGTAATTATTGAAAAAATCCTGAAAAAAAATTAGGTGGTGTTTGTTTTTTAAAAGGTGCTGAAGTCTTATTTCATTTATGATTTATAAGAGGTGGTACTGAAGTCTGAAATCTGAATCAATAACAATGTTTGTTTTTTGTAAACTGATAAGCGTCTGAATTTGTTTAAATTGTCTATTTTACCTATTAAAAATTATAGTATTGAATTTATAGATAAATTCATACAATTTCACATATTTATTTACCATCATTATAAATTACATCTAAATTATATAATTAACATTCATTTAAACAAAATATGTCATTAACGGTGTTTGACACATTTTGTATCATATTAAAATATATTAATTGAAAGAGGCGAAGATTGATTGAGAGAAATGATCGATCAAGGTTAATGGATTAAGAAACGCCATTGTTGAGGATTTAAAGAACAATAAGAGACAAATAAGAGGTTGGTTTACCTCTTATCAGATAAGAGGAAAATAAGACATAAGTGTCTCTAAAAAATTGGAAAAAACAAACAGTCTGAATGACTTTGGCTCTTAATGAATCAGACATAAGAAACTGATAAAAGTTTTTTTTATGAAAAACAAGCAAAGGGTTAGTTGATGATGCATACGTAAGCTGACGTTACAAATTATTCATATAGGTTTCAAAGAAAAACTTTTCAGTAATTCACACATAAACATTTCCATAATTACCCTTTCATAATTTTATTCTTACCTTTTTACGATATTTAATAGTTTTACTAGAAGGCTGCTCGCGCAATGCAGCGAGATAAATCTCGATTTTAATGTTTAGTTTTTATTCTTTGTCTCTATCGCTATAATACGATTTTATGTGGTTTTGAAAAGAAGATAATGATTTTATTTTTGAATTAAAAAATAAATTTGAAGATATTGTAAAAAAATAAATTGATAATAATATCAAATTAACTATTTAATAGTTCTCGTTTTTTTGGTGTAACTTCTTTACTTTATTTTTTTTATAATTTAATCTAGATTTAATAACAAAGTAATTTATTTTTGGTT